TCGAATCGAACCGGTCCACGTGGAATCACGTGGGGGGTGGCAATAACAAAAATGGGGGGTGGCAATAGCAATACCCTTAATTTATTGTTAACTTATATTTGTAATAAAAAAACGACCGAAATTAATAATAAAAGTTATTGATCAAGTTAATAAATCAATTTGATAAGACAAAAACATAATGAATAACTCAAAATACGCGAAGTAAAGTTGTCGTTACCATTATTTTTAAAAACTTGGGAAGAGATTCTAAAGAATAAAAAAGAAAATCAATATACTATTCTCATGAACGTGTTTAATTTTATTTTCAGAAAATACATACCTACCTATATACTCTATAACCCAGATCATTTCATTATAATTATCAATATTACAGAATATTTATTTATTAATCAATGGTACAAATCAATCTTAAAACCATTCGCCTACGACGATAATAATTATAAAAAACGTAGTAACAAAAAAATTTTATGCTGTTTTTGCTTCATCCTTCCTCCTCCAGTATTCGCCAAGCACAGGAGTCCGTTTTAAAACGTCTCTACGAAAGATCGGAACCGCTTCAGCGATTTCAGATACGAATATCCCCGCAGCAACGCCAAATACAATGGCAGATGGAGCCCTGAAAGATAATGATTAATGATTATTGTTTTGCCTTATATCAAGTCATTGATAATGAAAGAGATTTGAAGACTAATTTTTCACAATTTTCGTTATCTAACTTGGTTATCATAAAATTCAAAATAGACTTTCTACTATCAACAATAAAAATTCCGATCTCAAAAAAATATGTTTTCATTCTTCAACTACACCACACACACACACACCATCGTCTAGCCCTCTCAGGAGTAATTCTAAGAAAGTGCGGTTGAACTTTATAACGTGGTAGAGGTGGCATTGTTTCTGAATCAGGTTTTAACTTTAATAAAAGGAACAATTGATGAAATTCGATCAACTTCGATTATCAAGCCAATAAATTCAATTGCAGATCGACTTGAAAGCCACTTTGTTCAATTAACGATCGGCTTTTTTATTAGGAATCGAATAAGGCATTGTTTTCAGTATTCAAGAAAGAAATCAATTACTTGGTAACGGTAAATTTTATTTCCTAATCCATATTCATCATTACAACCAAATTTTTATAATTTTCAAGTTATATAATTCAGCATTTAAATTTAAAAGTTAGCATTAAAATTTGACCAAAATTATAATTCTAATACCTCTGATCCTAATCCTAACTTAAAATCAACCTTTTTTTGTAGTAGTTTTTCCGGGTCACATGATTTGCAAAAATTAATTATAACCAAATTTCAGTTCCGGCCAGCTTTATATGTGCATTGGGTGTGATATATATAATTCTGGCCGGAATTATTGAGATATTCAATATAACATAGAAATCGATCGTGCTTTCACGGAGACGGCAAAGCCTCACAATTACCACCTTTCTTATCCTCCAGTAATTTACCTTTATCCTGATATAAAAGCTTATACGAATTTTTGATAGTAACCTCTGACACACCAGTCACGTGAGCAATTTCTCTAGTGGTCTTTGGTTGTGAATATAAATTCGACACCAGGTATATACATGCGGCGGCAACCGACACCGGCGACTTGCCAGCAAGTGTGCCACAATCTTTTACCTTTTTCGTCAGGTCCACCGCAGCCTTTTGTACTTGTATGGAAAGACCCAACATCGAACAGAATCGCGACATCAAGTCTTCCGAGGTCATGGTGGCGACGTTTGTTTCGAAGGTGCGAATTAGTGTTTTGAAGCAACGACCGATTTCTTTTTTCGGTACGCGGGTAATTGCACAGATTTCTTTGAATGTGCGCGGCACGTTTTCTTGGCGACACGCGATAAAGATGCATGCGGCTATAATTGATTCTGTGCTTTTACCTCGAAGTAGTTTTTCCTCTTCGGCGCGTTTATACAATTGTTTTGCAATATCGGCAATCAATTTTGTTAATCCGATTGCATCACACATGGCCGCTATCTCTTTATACGCCTGAATCAAGTTCTTTTCACCTTTAACCGCGGTGGCACGACCATGAACTTTATTTAAATCACGGGCTGTTCCTGAACCACCGTCTTTTCGCGAAATGACTGTGTCCAACTGAGCACCATCAAGTAGCGGATTAGCAGCAGCACCAACACGTGATGGGTCATCACCTTCATCGTTGGCAAAAGTACGCCATTCCGAGCGAGTATCGATAATTCGGTCGCCCAGAACCAGACCACAGTCACCACACACAAGATCACCATTCGCGAATTCTTCGATGATATTTGGAACAGGATTTCTGCAGTCGGGACATATTAGGCGAACATTGAGGTCTGGTCTGATCGCTTTTGGTTCGGCTTCTTTTGTCGGCTTTAGACATGGGAATGGAATGGCCGCCATTTTCTGTTGTGTTTGTTGTGATAGTAATGAATGTTTGGAATGTGAAGGATTATGGGTAGAAGATTTTTTAGATTGAATGTATGCGTTAATATCTGGCAAGAAATCAAACCAATGTTGTTCAAGAATCGGTAAAGATTCAAAACTGCAAGACATTGTGAAATGGTTAGAATATATGTAATTATAAGATAAGTAGATATAAGATAATGATTTATAGATGGGGAATATTAAATTACTAAATGCTTAATCAAGCAAAATAATTTTTTAAAAAAATGTTTCTTATAAAGTTCGAATACTATCTATTTATCTGATTAAATGAGTTTACCTTTCAGCTCAGTTAATTCAAAGACACTGATTTACCGAAAGCAACTGACAAAAAAAGTCCGGTGCTGCCAAATAAAAAGACTCGGCCTGGTTACAGCTGAAATCGAGGTTCTCTACGACTGTAAATTTTTTAACGCGTATTGAATCGAATACGAAAAAGTTTAAAAGTTTGCGGGTGTGTGGATACAAAAGTTAATTCCGTAATTTTTTTTAAGTGCGACTTACACTCTGATTTCTTGTTTACTTCTTTCGAAACTTTAGTCCGCTTGTATTTTTTTATTACTGCTGATAAAAAAAGTTCCAAGGAAATGCTATGCTTCACTTTTAAATTTCTCTGATGACAAAAAAAATCCCTCCAAAGACAGAGGGAGCTCCTTTTTATCGTTTTTTTCGATTACACTATTGTTATTAAGAGTTGCGGCGGATTCATCATATGCATAATCAAGGATTTTGATTGGTGTATTGAGCGGAATTTGAAGAACGAGGGAGGAAATGATTTTGGATAATTGATTGTGATTATTTATATATCGATATCGATATCTATATATATATTATATCGATATATATATTATCTAGGTGTTATGCTCACTACATATCCGTGGAATGGTGATCTATCCGTGCTGCGTACAATAGTATTTTTAGCATAATTATACTCGAGTCGAGTTCAATGGAAAATAATAACAATTAACATATCATTGTTTTTAAGAAAAACACGTAATGATCAAGTTTTCTTTATTTGTTTAAATTCACAAGTTCATTTCAACAATTTATTTGATTATACTCTAGTAGTTACATTTTATTACTAACAATTACATAATTGGCTTTTAAATTCGCCATATATATTATTTCAAGTCCTTGAGTTTTATGATGATTATTGGCCACCACGAAGTCGAAGAACCAAGTGGAGGGTAGACTCCTTTTGGATATTGTAGTCGGAGAGCGTACGTCCATCTTCTAACTGTTTACCAGCGAAAATGAGACGTTGCTGGTCCGGTGGAATACCTTCTTTGTCTTGAATTTTTTGTTTGACATTGTCAATGGTGTCGGATGATTCGACTTCCAAGGTAATGGTTTTTCCGGTGAGAGTTTTGACGAAGATTTGCATACCACCACGAAGTCGAAGAACCAAATGGAGAGTGGATTCTTTTTGAATATTATAATCGGAGAGGGTTCGTCCATCCTCCAACTGTTTGCCTGCGAAGATTAATCGTTGCTGATCCGGAGGAATTCCTTCCTTATCTTGGATCTTTGTTTTTACATTGTCGATGGTGTCGGATGATTCGACTTCCAAAGTAATAGTTTTGCCAGTGAGCGTTTTGACGAAGATTTGCATACCACCACGAAGTCGAAGAACCAAATGAAGAGTGGATTCTTTTTGGATATTATAGTCGGATAGGGTTCGTCCATCTTCCAACTGTTTGCCTGCGAAGATTAATCGTTGCTGATCCGGAGGAATTCCTTCCTTATCTTGGATCTTTGTCTTTACATTATCAATAGTATCGGATGATTCGACTTCCAAGGTAATGGTTTTCCCGGTGAGAGTTTTGACGAAGATTTGCATACCACCACGAAGTCGAAGAACCAAGTGGAGGGTAGACTCTTTTTGGATATTATAATCGGAGAGTGTACGTCCATCTTCTAACTGTTTACCAGCGAAGATGAGACGTTGCTGGTCTGGTGGAATACCTTCCTTGTCTTGAATTTTTTGTTTGACATTGTCGATGGTATCACCAGACTCCACCTCGAGGGTGATAGTTTTACCAGTAAGTGTTTTTACAAAAATCTGCATGTTTAGTTTTGTTTTGAAAAAAAAATCAAAGGTGTATTGAAATTATTCGAGTTATTCGAGTTATTTGAATTATTTGAATTATTGAATTTATTGTTGTTCCAACTTTCAACTTGAAGAAAGAAAAAAAGGGTGGGAGTAGAGGTGTATTTATAGTAATTTTACATATCGGAGTTATGTATTAGTAAGCACCTTATCATCATCAATCATTTTAATCAGCAGACATAAAAAAGTAGTAGTAAGTACGTCATTTCATACCGGAAACTTCTATTCCACGCAGAATTTTATCTAATGAATGATAAGTAAGGGGTCAAATTGTAACAAACAAAAAGAATAATGGCGTTATTGTTTGCGCAGTAATAGAAACAACGGTTGATTGTTAACCATATGAGCAGTTACAGTAAATAATTAATAATAACAGTATAGCTTTGCAAATAAAATGAGACTACATTGTAGCATTTAATAATAATAACAGTATGACGCCAATCATTGCTCTCCATGTCGGAACCTTTGTGTAGATAAAGTTCTTATGGATATACGTACATAATCATCTTCTCGTCTATGGTTATGATTGTGATCATTTTTTTACCATAACGATAAGAGTCGCTTTATTCTGAGTGTAAATCATAAACCAGAAAGGAAATGGGATAATAACATACCGTTTAACGTTAGTAATACATTGTTAAACCCGAAGTGGGCTATCAATTAGTGCTTCGGTTTAACGGGTTCAGCTTAACTGTATTGGGAACTATAAAGAGGTTGTGTGGCTATTTCTTAAGTGATATAATAAAAAGTTTTACTCGGATATTTTTCAAAATCCAACCAGTGAACTTTCAGTTTCGCCCTGCCAATAATTGGTGTCTTGATATTATTTATCTTATTCGATTATTCATATTCTTTTCATACCGATATTAATTAGATCACGTTTTCTGCTTCAAGAATTCTTTCCATAATTATGACACCAACTGTTCATTTTATTCCGCAACCAGGTTATGGTGAAAATATTACTGATGAAGAGATAATAAAACAACACTTTCTCCAAACGAGGCAATTCAAAAAAGTGAACGTTAAATTGATAAAGGGAATAAATGTTTTAAAATCTGTGCAAATATCTTGATTATTGATGCCTTAATATAATCACATTTTTTTATAGTGCCAGTTTCAAGAGTATGCATTAAGCGAAACTTTATTGAATTAGGATCTATATTTTTTTAGGAAATAACGTTAACTGGATTATATAGTCATAAAAAAGTAATTTTATGGAATATATTCCAGACTCGTACTGGCTTATAATTAAAGAATATAATTATACAATCTCTCACTTTTATATAGTGTCAATTCCATGCTTGAAACTTTTTGATTTACAAAATAAATTGTTTTGAATTCAATAATACTATTAAATCAAGTTTTTTTGAGAGTTGAGTTTAGATTTTTTATATAAATCAATAAAAAAATAGTAATTTTAACTGATAAAAATAATATAAAATACATCACCATATACTGATACCGATTCCAGCAAAATCGAGAGTTTACCAAATGTTTCTTACACCGGCTGTGATCTGATTGGTTAAAATTAATATCTAACAAATAACGTGATCCTTTTACAAATACTCGTTATCAACATCATGGGGTTATCAATATGGCGCCGCCGTTGTAAAGGACTTTGACTGTATACAAAATAAATATTAACAAAAATTATTATGAAAGTTAGGTTGTTTTCTCGAACTCTTTATTTTCCTTCCAGATATAAACAACTGATGTGTATGTTATGGCTGATCAACAGTTTTGTATCCTTGAACTTTAACTCAAAAAGTTAACTCTCAAGGCACACCGAATTCTTTTGAGAAAATCCAACATAATTCAATCAATTGTATATTGAATTTGGTTTATATTAATTGAAATCGAGAGATGATTATTGAGATAAAACTCAACTTGACCCACTAGCACAAGCATCGTATACAATCAACCATTCAGAACTTGAATAATTTTTCATTGTCGATAAATATATGTCAATAATAAAGCAATGGGCAAGTCTCACCTCATCGCGGTGATAGTGAAGAGATTTCCATTGTGTTCTTGAGAGGGATTGACTACCTGGTATCAGGCGGTAAACTCTCAGATATCATTTGCTGTATCTTCAAGGGATAAAAGCCTTAGCTAAAAAACACTTTTTTCTCGAGAAAAACAAAGACAGATCTAATTCTCTTATTCTAGAGACCATACGCAATTGAAGACGACCTTGGTTTACTGGAAACATGGTAAATCCGAGGCAACATGCCTATTTACCGGCTGTTCAGCAATAGCAAGTAGCTCGATTGGTGTTTGAGGCCGCAGGATCTGGTTCAAGAGCTTTAATTTAGTAATCTTAGGTTTGGAATGAGAATTAGATATTGCTTAAAGCATCTTTTCGTCATAACTCTGACTTATATAATTCAAGCTGATCTGAATAAATGAAACAACTCGCATAATGCGCGGAAGTTTTGAATTCTTTGCCATCTGAGCAGTACAGTGAATAGCGAGGCTTTGAAAGAGTAAGATTTCGAACTAATTATTAAAAGTCTCGATCATTATTTTCTCGGATGTTAATGATAATCACAATTAATACAAATCACATGCTACACCATAGTTATGTATTCACGCGGTAAAATACCGCACGAGGGATTCTTGTCTTGTTCTGTTCCATTTCATTAAATAAGTATTTTCATCATATTATTCTAGATTTTTCGGTCCATGCTGGGTATAGATTCTATAAAATTTTCTGATCTTGTATATCCTAATTGAAATAATATTAGCAGACATGTGATTAGAAAAGTTTTGACTCAACACATCATTCTTAACTATATTTTTGGTACTTACCCGAAAAATTAAAGAAACTCGTCGCCCTTTTTGTATGAGGTTTCCTCGAAAAACATGATTTTCTGGTTGCATCGGAATTTCATGGGTAAATTTGAATCGTACAGATCCTCTAACGGGAATATATTATTATTAATTATCCTTATTTTAAAGTATCAAAGATTACCTAAATGTAAATATACTTTTGAATATATAATGATCCAGGCTCTAATAAAACTGAAAACATACAGGATGGATCATCTACATGTCGAAATATCATTACGGCCGATGATATTAAAGATGCGCCCATGATTACTTTACCTGAATACTAATTAATATAGATATAAGTTGATAACAATTGGTTAATGCCTTTAATCCTGTCTGTTAATAATTACCTCTATATTGTCAACGTGTGGTCTGATACCACCCCATTCAGCTAATTCTAAAATGTGAATTGGATTCCATTTTTTTACATCCGGAACAAGATTATACACTTTATCCTTTAACAATTCTCTAAGCTCGCGAAGTTCGCTGTTTTTACTGTTAGAAATATTATAATCAATCCAATCTGATGCTTGGCATTCTCTGTATCCTTCGATCACACCGTCAAAGTGACCTTTTTGATATATTATAGCTTTTCCAAGCACACGTTTAAATTTTTTTAAAGAATGACCAAGTAATAACTCTTGCTCCTTTTCTGAGAAATGATTTGGATACAAAATAAAATCGTCAGGATTGAAAAGGTTTGATGATGGCATTGACAAATAATCAATGTATTGTGACGGTGACATCTTCGTTGATGACGATGAAGAATGGAAATGTTTAAACACCTGTTGTCGGAGTTTATCAGCTAAACGAAACATTACTATCGTTATCTATACATGTATAGAATTTACACGAAGGTATGAGCTGATCAGATGAATACAAAATAAATCATTAATGCAAGAAATATATAAGTCAAATTAATATAATTATTAAGCAAATCCTTATAAAAATATTATTTATATTGCTACCATTTCTAGTTCTTACATATGAGAATATTTAGAAATGGTTAACAGTGACTGTATTCATGGCAGATTTTAAATAAGAAAGATATAAATGATGGAAGTGGATGGTTGACAATAATAAACTAACAAGAATATGAATATAAGATGAATGTTTAAGTGTATTTGAATAATAATAAAATATTAAAATTAGATATACACTATAAATCAAGACTACAAAGTGTATTGATAAGATAAAAGACAATATGATGACAAGTGAAAACAACAAAAATAAAATAAAGATAAAACAAAAGAAAACAAAAGAAAAATAAAATAAACAAACAACAAAAATAAAATAAACAAAAGAAACAAACAAGAAGAGTAAAAAAAAAAGACAAGACAAAAGTTAAAACCAGGATATAATCTTCTTAGTTTATTTCAAGTCAATTCTTATGTTACATATATAGTGAATTTGAGTTATGTTGATTTATATATTATTTACATATATAAATTACAAAGTAAAATTAATAAAAGTAAAGATCTACAATATGTTGGAACACGATAACTATTGTGTAATATTAGAAAGAGATTTGTGTAAAATCTATGTGTCACTAATTAAATTAATGTAATAAGAGATTAAAAATAAAGTACCAATAAGATTTAAAATATAAAATGATATGATAATAATATGAATTGATTGATAAATTGAATAATGATGAAATCTAAACTAAAATAATGTGATAATAATGGATAAAAATATAAATTATTGCTATTGGATAAAAATGTAAGAAATATAGAAAAGTAAAAATAAAAAAAAAGTCTAAATGAATATTACTATACTAAAAATATAGTTGATGAAAGATAAAATGGTAACAATATAAAAAATATTTTTGAAAAATATTAATATTATTATAATAAAGTAATTTATAAATATAATATATATTACTTTTAAAATTTATTATTAAAATATAATTTCACTTTGATCAAAATATTAAAAGATATTAAATATAATTTTTATAAGCATGTTCAATTTACAATAACTTGCAAAAAAATGAAACAGTATTAAAATTTATTAATAAAATATAACAAAATATAGATTTTCCTTTCTATATAAAAATTTTCAATTTTATTAATTAATATTTTATAGAAAAATTCAAATAATAATTTATATTTTAATATAAGAAAAAGAAGAGTATTGTGATGAGAGTGAGTACTATAGCAAATTATCAAAAAATTCCATTTGTATTGTTACTGTTTTGATTGACTTTTAAAATATTTATAAAATTTAAAGAAATATTCAAAGAGAACTTCTAATATCTTAATGACAATTCAAAGTATTAATAATATTTTATAACTATTAGACTGAATATAAATAAATACTAAAAGTACTAGTGATAAAATCACTTAAAAGTTGATAATAGTTGTGTTCTTTTAATACAATAATCTGAATAGCTAAAAAGAGTTCTCAAAATCTCAAAGTCAAAGATATAGAGATTATAATATTTGTATTATCAGCAATATGAGAGCAAAAATGAGTTTATAAATAATATATTATCAGTAATATAATCTCAAAAACAGATTTATAGATTATAATAATAATTTTAATATAATATTCAATAGATTTTATCACAAACATGTTCAGAGAACTTAGTATTAAAATAATAATTTTTGTAGTGCTTCTGGCAAATGTGCTTAAATTACTATAATATTAATTCAAGAATTGTATAATACTTATAGCAAATATGTTAAAGTAATTATACAAGAAACAAGAATATTTTGTCAAAGAAATGTAGAAAGAAGTTTATGCTTGATTACTTACTTTACATAAAGTACAAACTTTGCTCATATGAATGATCAAAAGTACGTAATAACTAGCTATTGTCATGATATGATATTTGACAAACAATTTTATTAAATAACAAATATATTAATTATTATTGAATTATATTTATTAATATTTCTATTGAATAGTTATTTTTAGATAGTTGTTATTTTATTGGATAATTATATGTTAGATATTATTGGTTCTTAGCTTTGTGTTAATATCAGAAATATTGATAACACTCATATTTAATTAAATTAATAACAACAATAATAGAACCAGTTATATTATATAATATGTAATATATCATATATCTTAGCTTAAAAAAAGTAGTTAATAACTCAAGAAGTCTCTTGTTTGATAGAAACTTCAGATAACTTGTAAAATTATATTTGTATTGATTTTTGATTTTGAAAAATAGATTGCTTATAATAAACTATTATTATTGACTTGAAAGATAGTCACTTAATAAAATTATTATTTGAATCATAACTTTTGAAATTCTAAAAATAATACACAAAACTTAGTAAAGTTATTGAATATCATTCTAGCTTGTCATAACAAGAACACATATTATCTATCTTTAGTAATAAATCTTAGTCTCTTCCATTATAAAAACTTAATCTTTTTTGCTCTTAAATT